ATCAAACTTGAATTAGGGCTGTAGTCTGGCATTTCCATATGAACACTCAAATTAGTTTTGCACAGGGATGTTGCAAATAAGACTGCTGGAGTTCAGGGCTTTTTAGACTCCCTACTTACCGTTCATTTTTTCTATATGTATGCTTACCCAGAGCATTGAGTGAGAATATTTAAGGCATCGGAGATAAATGACCCAGTTAATCTGTTCCTTTTTCTCTGCAAGTAAATGAATGGTTTGTCCCTGGCCATCACCCACAGGGTAGCTATTCCATGTTAACCATTCTGGATTATGGCTGACAGAATGGCATAAAAGGCTCCCTAGCTTTGCTCTATCCTAGTATTTTTCAACCTTGGCTACTTTAGGATGCTGGCTGGGGCATTCTGGGAAATGAAGCCCACACATCTTAATGATGCCAGGGCTGAAAACCACTGCTCTGCCCTGACGGATTGCAGCCAAAGTCCTCTGGACCCCAATTTCCTACTTTTCATTCTATGATTTTTGTATCACAAGACCTTACATCATCTCATTTGTGCATTTATCTTTGTCAACTCAAGGATCAGTTTCGCAGACAAATGGCTAAAAGACATCACACTTCAAGTACCTTAATCATAAATGCTAATTTGACAGCTGCATTAACTTGGAAATTAATTTGCAACTGTAGATTTTAACACCAAAGCTGAAAATTTGATTCCATCTTTAGCATAAAGAGCATGTCCCCCCTCCCTCCTGCCATGAAGAAATTATGACAAAGACTCATACAATTCCCCCCCTCCGTGCAAAACTGCACGTCACTTTGCAGAAAATAGTTCAGGGGCAGAGATGGAGTTTTTAATTCTTATCATGTTTCCTTTATCCCGACCATTCAACAACTATGTGTCTAACTCCCAAGGTCTCTGAAATCAAAGCCTTATCCAGAGATGGACAAGAAGAAGAGGGAGAACAGGGCTCCTTACTCTATTCTGTCTGGCCTTCTATTATCCTTGCTCTCTGAAGTTCTTCTAACTTCTATTATAGGTTCAGAATTGTTGTTGACTCCAGCTACCATCTTCGAATCTCGCTGTTTGAGAAAGCTGCATAACATTCTCAGAGACTCTTCCAATCCTGCTTACAATCTTTTTGGACTGTTGCCTTCTGGCAGAAGATACAGAACAATTAAAACTCGGACTGCAAGTTTTCTGAATAGTTTTTATCCCAGAGCTATAATTGCACTCAACAGTGAACTAAAGGGCCACCATCAGTGAGCTGTTGGACAGTATTACTTGGTCTGTTGTGTGGATGTTTGGGTGGTTTAGGGGTGGGGAATTGTGGTGGGTGGGAGTGTGTTTGGGGATGTTATGTGTGTTGGACCTGTTTTTTGGGTGTTAAGTCAATTTCGTTGTATGGGTATACTGTGTATACCCTTTCCCAGCATTAGGCTCTTCTCCAGTGAGTCCTTCCTTCTCATTAGGTGGCCAAAGTATTTGCGTTTCATCTTCAGGATCTGGCCTTCTAAAGAGCAGTCAGGCTTGATCTCCTCTAGGACTGACTGGTTTGATTGCCTTGCAGTCCAAGGGATTCGCAGGAGTCTTCTCCAGCACCAGAGTTCAAAGGCCTCAATTCTTTGGCACTCAACCTTCCTTATGGTCCAGCTTTCACAGCCATATATTGCAACTCGAAAAACCATAGCCTTGACTATAAGTGCTATAAGGGTGATGTCAGAATGCCACTCCACAAACCTGCCATAAAAGATTATTCCCTGTAAGCCTAACATTTGTGTATGCTTAATCCTAAGAACTTTGTTCTGCGAGAGTTAAATCAGTGAACCAAGGAAAACTCTGCCCACTGCGACAATTAATTTTAGGCCTATGTAGGTTAAACTGAATAGATACTGGATTATAAACAGCTGGCATCCTTCTGCTGACAATCGCTTTTTGATCTTATGGCAGCTTCTGACAGTAGCATAGAAATTGAAATAAATATAGGGATGTGCCTAAATAGCGATCCTTCTCTTCTCCGTGCAACAACACCCAATTATTCAGGTCCTTTAGAACAAACACTGGGGGAAACTAAGTAAGTTGGAGAGGTGACAGGGAGATAAAAAAATAATCGTTCCTGAGATAAAAGCTTTCCCTTCAGGGGATAAAGAATTTTTTTCAAGGATACCAGTTGAATACAACTCAGTGTAGCTTATTATTTTAAAGAAACACACAAGCTCTTTTTCATCTTTTAAATACCAAATGGAAATTATCTCTCTCTATCCCTATCTGAAAAGGGACACGGTGGCTCAGTGGCTAAGACACTGAGCTTGTCGATCGAAAGGTTGGCAGTTCAGCAGTTCGAATCCCTAGTGCCGCGTAATGGGGTGAGATCCCGTTACTTGTCCCACCTTCTGCCAACCTAGCAGTTCGAAAGCACATTAAAAATGCAAGTAGAAAAATAGGGACCACCTTTGGTGGGAAGGTAACAGCGTTCCGTATGCCTTTCGCATTTAGTCATGCTGGCTACATGACCATGGAGACATCTTCGGACAGCGCTGGCTCTTCGGATTTGAAACAGAGATTAGCACCGCCTAGAGTCTGGAACGACTAGCACATATGTGCGAGGGGAACCTTTACCTTTACCTTTATCCCTATCTTTCTACCTATCTCCCCTCTACGGCCTCCTTTTACAGCAAAACCAATCCATGCAAAGCTAACAGTTACTTGCTCTCCACAGACAAATATTTACCTACAGATATTTGATCCCATCAACTGTTACTGGTTTTTAAAAAAATGTAATGCAATTTCTCTCCAAAAAGTAAAACTGACAATCCTTTGAAGGAAACAAATAGTGGTTTCCAAAATACTGTCTGGGAAAAAAAAAAAGACAGATCTAAATCGATCTAGGTTGTTAAATGATTGAGCACATCCATGACCTTCTTTAAATGTCAAGAATAGAGACGTACTTATGGATAGTCGAACCTCAGGGTCAGATGTTAATTTTGGAGGAAGTTGTAGATTTTCTGTCCAAAATGAGTCTTTCTTCAAATTAGCAAATTATATCTACTTAACAAATATGGATACTTGAAGTTCCAAATAGAAATTCTTATAAGGTACTGCATATAAATAGGCAGCAGAACACTACACCCGCTTGCATTGATGATGTTGCCTAGTTGGGTAATGAAATGTTTGCAAGCAAACAACCAAGCTCAGAGAGTACCAAGAACTGCATAGAATTTACTCTAATAAAAAATAACTATCAATGGACAATAGGAGTTCAAGGGAGAATAATGTAGGACATTTGATAGAAGAGTCCAATTGAAGAAAGAAAATAGGTTCTGACTTTTTAGAAGAATGTACTGTTTTTCAATTAGTGTTCTACGAATGAATAACTAGCCCCATCCTTATACAAATGAAAAGACCAAGCATATGACTGAATGGTTATGGCAAGTAAATTTATGAATAAAGCACCTAACAAAATTCATTAAACCATTATAAGCCAGAAGTCCCAACAAATCAAGTTAAACAGAAAAAAGAGGGTAATTTTCATATTTTTAATTAATAAAAATCCAGACAATGGCTAATGAATGAAATGGCTACAAGAACTGAGCATGTACAATGAGGGCACAGGACTAAAAAGAATTACAAGAGGAGCATTTGGGACTTAAATAGAATTTCTAAGGTTTGATTGGTTTCCCCAGACACATAATTAATTTTCAAAACATAAAATGACAGTGTCCTACAAGTATTAGCATTTAATAAAAATCAGCAACAAATACTAATTCATGATCAGTTAAGGATATCCAGAATATTATCATCTCAAAATGTAAAAATACAGAATTGCCATATACGGCCCTGGAAGAAGGAATATATTTTTTCTAATGTAATCTTTAAATAAATAAAATAGTGTAATATAATCTCCTGGAAAATTAATATATAACTAAAGGAGAAAATGATATTTATTTGTATCCTGTCTTTATTATTTTTAGAAATAACTTGAGGCAGCAAATATATCCAACATACTTCTTTCTTCTCTCAAGACCTTTTTATTCCATCAGGCTGGTCTGGCCTAATTTTCCCTTTTAAAATGTAAATTTTAATCTGTTCTTAATTATTGGGGTGTTTTAAATCTGTCTTGGGCCAAATTGTTTAATTCGGTTTTATTTTGCTTTTAAATTTTATATTTATGTGTTTTATCTTGTGGCTGTTATCTTGTGGCCCTGAGTCCTTCGGGAGTAGGGCGGTATATAAATCAAATAAAACTAAAACTAAAACTAAACTAAACTTCTATTTTCCTCACAACTAACAATTATGTGAGGTAGGTTGGGCTGAGAAACAGTGACTGGTCCAAACTCATCCAGCTGGATTTCATGGCTAAGTTGGGACTTGAACTCAAAGTCTCCTGCTTTCTAGCCTGGTGCCTTAACCAGCCAGCCAGACCGTGTAGCAAACATTTCAGACCATTCTAGGATTTTAAATTCATTTATAAATTGTTTTAATTTGTTTATTAATATGCTTGATAAGTCAACTTGGCTACTTTACAAATTAAAACAATTTAATGAAAAATTGAAAGTTCTGGAATGTTCTGAAATGTTTGCTACAGAATCTGAGTATAAGCACCTTCAATGATAGTTGTTCAAAAATTGTCTTTAAGGCACTCTCACCCCTAGATTTCCTTTTTCTACTATCCAATAATGTAGATAGATGATAGATACCCTGTTTCCCCCAAAATAAGACATCCCCTGATAATAAGCCCAATTGGACTTTTGAGCTCATGGCAATAAGGCCAAGCGCTTATTTCAGGGTTCAAAAAAATATAAGACAGCTACTCATCTTTCTTTTCAATGAGTCAAATATATTATACCGTTTCCCCCAAAATAAGACATCCCCTGATAATAAGCCCAATCGGGCTTTTGAGCGCATGGCAATAAGGCCAAGCGCTTATTTCAGGGTTCAAAAAAATATATAAGACAGGGTCTTATTTTCGGGGAAACATGGTATTTGGCTTACAATTACAGAAAAAGGTACCCACAAATAGAATACCTTGATAACTTCCATGATTTCCCGTCTTTCTTCACTAGCGAAGAGTAGCTGGTTGGTGGCTCCTCGGTCATCATGTTTAAAGCCATCCTCTTCCACGTAAGGAATGAGCTGCTATAAATGTGGAAAAAAAAGTCCTATATTTAGACAGAGAATATCTGGTGGAATCTGGTGTGAGAAGTTATGTCTTAATAAGAAGTTAATTATTGTAAATATGAAATTACAGAAATGTTTCTTCTTCTAAGAGCATTTAGGAGAAGGGCGGGATACAAATTGAATAAAATAAATAAATAAATAAATAAATTATTTATTATATTATATTATATTATACAATCTGTTTTTGGACATTTTAGGAAATTTAAGATGTCTCAAAGCAATAAAAATATATTTTGCCTTTTACCAACTTGCAAACTCCCTAAAACTTTTTCTAACTACGATAAAAAGGTATAAGCAGAAAATACATTAAGTTTCACCATCTGGAAATCATGATGGATACCGTATGTAAGCTGATCTGGATCTTCTGGAAGATCCTTCAGTGATCTGCAGTACATTAGCTCTCAGTAGTTTTACAGTAAGAGCAATACAATAATTTCCCTCTCTTTGTTGTGGCAATTGAGAAACCATGAGGTAAAGCAAGAGTGCATTTTTGCGGAGAGCATTATTGTAAACTCTTGGTTTAATGGACCTCAGCTGAGTGGACTTCAGATATAGTGGACAAAGATTTCATTTGGGCTTCATCCCATTTAACAGACAAATGTCTATTAAATTGAGGATTTGTCTACTAAATAGAAGTTTTAGTGCTAATGGTGCTATTTGCATCAATTAGGTAATTATGCAAACAATATAAATGGATGTAAACAAGATAAATTTGAACTTTACAGACATTTGTATTTAATGGAACCACTCCTTCCCCAATGATCCATTAAGTCAAGATTTTTCAGTACTTATTACTAGCGTTTTGTGTACCCATTTTAATCCAGGTTTCACATGGAGAATTTGGGGATTTTAGAATAAATGAGATTTGGAAACAAATCAGCTTCCCTCTTCTTCTGGTCTAGATATTTGTGCCTGTCTCCCCATTTCACTTACCTCTATTGGAATAGGTTCAAGTCCTGCACAATTTTCATTGCACTTATCGTATACCAATCTCAGTTTCCGAAACAGTATTGAAAGTTGGCGCAGATGTTCTTGCAGCTTTCCCAATCTGTCTTGATATGTGCCCGTATGATAGGTGACACCATTTGGAAGCTGGAATATTCAAATATTTAATAGAAAGAAATCAAATTTTAGCCACCCTTGAGAATATACAATGACAAAAGAAAACCTCACTCATTTCTTCCACAAATGTGAAAAGTTTTTGACAAAAACTTTGTTAGTTTCCAAAAGCTATCTGAGCTTCATTCCATTTATTTAGAATAAATGTTATCCAATGTCTATACTTTCTTTCACTGAAGCATATAACAAAATAGAAAATAATAATCAAAAATTAAAACACCACCATAAAATTATCAGACACGTCTACAAAATATGTTTTTGAATACCGATTGAGTTTCTTCCGGAAAAAAATTCCATAAAGTCAGAGCTACTTCTGAGAAGATCCTACTAAGAGCAATTTCCTCTCATTTTAAGAACATTTTGGCAAATATTATGATAGATCAGAGAAGTCTGATTCACCAAAGGCAGTTTAGAAGTAGAATAATATATCATATATCATATCGTATGTCATACCATATAGGCTGACAGTAAGTCTGAAAAAGTAGGACTTTGATTATTAGCGTGCTCCCACTCCTATTTTCTAGAAATAGATCCAGAAGCCTTTAATACAGAGGTCCACAAGCTAGTCGTAGTCAGAATAGAGCTGGAAGGGAACTTGAAAGTCTTCTAGTCTAACTCCCTGCTCAAGCAGGAAATCCTATACATTTTGAGAAAAGTGGCTGTCTAGTTTCTTCTTAAAAACCTCTAGTGCTGAAGCACCCACAATTTTTGAAGCTCTTCAGCTCATTGATGCCTTCATGAAGCTTCAGTGTTCCTTGACACTCAAACAGTTATTTTATGAAAATAATTTAATAAATACTATTTTAGCTAATAGAATTAAGAATTATGTAGCATCACTTGACTAAGATGGGTAGCCATAGAAACTAAATAAATAAACAAACAAATAAATAAATAACAATTATGCTAATCCCATTGATCCTTGGAAATCAATAGGGACCACTTGCTGTAATGCCAAAGTTACTATGTAATATCATAGGAAGGCAATTTTGCTACTGAAACAGTGTAATAATAAAACAATAACATTTAAAACACATTTAGTCTGGCGCAGCAGACTAAAATGCTGTTAAGTAGCACCAGCTGCCTTCAATTACTGCAAGTTCAAATCTCACAGGCTCAAGGTTGACTCAGCCTTCCATCCTTTCGAGGTAGGTAAAATGAGGACCCGGATTGTGGGGGCAATAAGCTGACTTTGTATAAAAAAGAACACCGCTTGGGGGGGGGGGGAAGCCCTACTAAGCAGGTATATACAAAAGTATGAAGGCTATTGCTTAACGCATTGTAAGCCGCCCTGAGTCTCCGGAGAAGGGCGGCATATAAATCGAATCAATCAATCAATCAATCAATCAATCAATCAATATGTATGATTGCATAATTTTGCATCATTCCTAAACTCTGGGATTCTATTTTTAACATGACCACTGCCACTTTTCATATTTATTCTGGATTGATATTTCTGCCTTATAACAGAAGTTAAAGAAAATTCTGATCTTGTTGTTAGCTTGTCCAAGCATATTATGAGCAAGTTCTGACACCAATGTTACGTTGTATGCAAAGGCACCCCCAAATTTGTGAATCCCCTTAGGTTTGCTCGCAAAGTCCTGAAAAGTGAAAGGGGGTCACAGCCTTCCGCTTCAAAATTTCTGCATTAAGATAATCTGATTGAGATCTGCTGAACAGATATAAACATGTTAAATTCAAGGGGCACACCAAAACAATTTTCTTTGATAATTTTTTCTTCTCAAATTTTGAATAAAGAATATTATTCTGCAACCGGAGAAGTGTATTTTTTTAGGATGCAAGGGCTGTAAACTATGCTTTTAAAACAGTCCATATAAAAACTCTATTTTGCTAAAAGAATACTGGTGAATACATAGACATTCTCAACAAATTCAATGGAAATATGAATTACATTAAAAATAATCCGAAATAATCAAAATAAAACAAGAAAAGTTAGGGTAATTATTTTAGAATTTAAAGATTGAAAACAGGGGAGGAATTTTCTAAGAAATAAAAGTGAATATGGGGAAATCCTACAAATCTACCAACTATAGAATAATATAGTGACATTTACCAGCTGCCATCAAGGTACATGCAAATAAGTAGAAGCAAAGAGGTAATATACTACATTAAGAAAAAAAAATCCCAGAGAAAACTTACATACCCACCATTATCAATTTATAAATCACTTGCCTATATTTTAACTAGAATATGCAATTGGTCTATTTTCTTTAGAGCAGCCCATTTTGTCTAAAAAAAAATCTTGAACTCAAAATGAATTCTCTCCAAAGGCAGATTAATTAGAAAAGAATTATCTGCCTCCTTTACTATATTTTTAGTGAAGCTAAGATTCTCCAATTTTAAAAGTAAATTATCTGGGGAGAAAGACAGATAAATCGTTAAAGCGGTGTTTTTTTTTTTTAATGAGAATATGTAGGCGGCAAAGACTTCCTTTTCTGAATGCCAAAGTTGTTTTTGCTTATATGTTTTTTACTGTGCACTTTTTTCAATTTAATTCAGGTTTTCTACAAGAGAGGAAAATAGAATAGCATTATTCGGACAGGGGATTCCTTACCTGCATATTTCTTAACAGCTGGAAGATTTCCATAGTGCGGAATACAATGTCCTGCACAGTCTCTTGACCAATGCGACACAACGAAGCTGTGTTCACTTCTCGTGCAGCCTGACCCTGAGACCCAGAAAATGGACCAGGAGGCAATCCTGGCCCTGCTAGAGGTGGTGTAGACATCCTGAAGTGCAAGAGAATTAAACCATTAAGGCAGAAAAAAGGAAAACGGGTGTCAAAGAGTACACAAATCTGTTGGATATAGATGTTTAATATATTAATGATTTGCTATTGTCATATTAAAGTTAAATTACATTGGGATCCTCCATCTACAAATTAATATCACGCTCAAAACCTTACATTTCACAGATTTGTAAGACTACAGAGACAGAGCAGTTCATTTTGGGCATATAACTCAGCAGTGCAGGAGGAAAGGAAGGAGGAAAGGAAGGAAGGAAGGAAGGAAGGAAGGAAGGAAGGAAGGAAGGAAGGAAAGAAAGAAAGAAAGAAAGAAAGAAAGAAAGAAAGAAAGAAAGAAAGAAAGTCAAAGCTCCAATTTCTGCTTAAACATGGCCGGTCCCCTTTCAAGCTGCACATTTTATCATGTCGCCACGCAGCTATATTTATATATTTTGCATATATAAATATTATGCTTTTGTTTCTTATTTAGAAAAGTGCATTCTTTCTCCCTAGGCCACTTTTGCATATTCTAGCTTACAACAGCAGTCTAACCTTGCCCTTTTCCTATATAAACTAACTGCTGGACTTTTAAACTATAAAACGCTGCTTGAAGACAACCCAGTTCAGCAGAACCCACACCTTTTAGTCTTGAAGGCTTTGGGAGCTGACTTTCCAGAACGTCCTTGCTTCCTAAACATCCTCTGCTTTGTTTTTAACCTATTCTTGGATCCTAGTACCATTTGATAGCTTATTAGTAACCTTGACTATCACTAAGTGTTGTATCTTTTTCATTCTTGACGTATTTTATTCTCCTTATGTACACTGAGAGCATATAGTACACCTAAGACAAATTCCTTGGGTGCCCAATCACAGTTGGTCAATAAAGAATAAAGAATTCCTTTAATGTTCCCATAAACCCAGGGTTGAAAGGGACCTTGGAGGACTTCTAGTCCACCCTCCACCCTGTACAGGGCAGGAATCTTCCATTTTGGATAAATAGCTCCCCAAGTTGGAGCATCCACAACTTCAGGTGTTATTCCCAGGATCAAATAAAGACTTAAGACAGGCACCCAAGACCCTTAAATTTGCTCTCAGCTCCAAAGAGACAGAAGAAACCTGAAATATCAAGTCCAGATTTTCCTAAAAAAAAAAAAAAAAAATCAAACAAACCCAAAGCTCCCAGAAATGGGAGCCTGCCAAACATCCCCGATCTCAGACACAAAAACGGGTCATTGTAACATTCATAACATTTATAATCTCAGCCTTCCTTCGCGCAACCTGCAGGGAGACTGGACTACGGGGTCCATCATTCCCAGCCACTGGACCGGGGTGGGTAAAGGATGCAATCCAACTGTCCCCGGGAGGGAAAGAGGACGATAGACACGAGGGTACCTAGCCGTCGTTGTCCGAGTAACAACCTTTCCAGGATAGTCGACTCTCCCCCCGCCCGTCGTCGGCGACGCCCTCCTCCCGGCGCGCAAACCGGCGGCGGACGTGGAACGGCGGGACGTGATGACGTCACGCGGTACGGACTCGTGGCGATGGATGCCTTCTGTGCATCAGCAGGGCGTAGCCATTTTTTTTCTTCCCCCTTCCGTACAGGGACTCCTTCTCAGATTCCCACCCAGCCCCGCCTTCCTCGGGAGAAAGTGGCCCGCGCCGAGTTATTTTCCTCGGAGTTTCGGTTGCGTTTTGATAGGGAGGACTACAGTTCCCATGGTCCCCAGCCAATATAATGTAAACGATTTCCCCGTTCGACCTTCTCCCCCCGCTTCTTCTTTGCTGCCGGTTCTCCCTCCCTGGCGAAGAAGAACGCAAAATCAAGAAGGAAAAAAAAATACCTTTTTTTTTAGTTTTCTATAGTTTGTATGCAAAATGCAGCTTTTTTGTTCTTCTGGAGGCTGGATTAGAAGCTGAAGAAGGCGGGGGGGGGGGAATTCAGCAGGTTTAATACTGGTTGCCTTTAATTCAGTGCTTCTCAAATCTGGCTGCTTTTAAGATGGGTGGACTTCAACTCCCAGAAATCCCCAGCCAAGCTAGCTGGGGAATTCTGGGAGTTGAAGTCCACCCATCTTAAAACAGCCGGATTTGAGAAATAGCTATAGCAGTCTAGACTTACCCTGTTTTCCCGAAAATAAGACCCTGTCTTATATTTTTTTGAATCCTGAAATAAGCGCTTCGCCTTATTGACATGCGCTCAAAAGCCTGATTGAGCTTATTATCAGGGGATGTCTTATTTTGGGGGAAACAGGGTATAAACCACTTCATGGTGTTTTACAGCCCTCTCTAAGCAGTTTCCAGAGTCAGCGTATTGCCCCCAACAATCTGGGTCCTCGTTTTACTGACCTTGGAAGGATGAGACAACCTTGAGACGATCAGGCTCAAAGGAATCGAACTCCTGGCAGTGATGGTCATACATTGAATGAGATGCAGAAAAGTTTCCAGATAGGAGATGAACTGAGTCCATTCAGTTGAAGAGATACACACAGTTTTAAGATATACTCAAGATGGGGTGAAAAGTATTGGAAGAATGTATATTCCTTGAGTTGGTTCCGATGGGGAATATACAACATTGTCTTGCCTTCTGTGAAACAAAATGCAATATTTTCTTGCCTTTAGCAGCTGTGGGTGCTCCATCACTGAAGATGGAGAAAAAAGAGACTGCACAACCATTTGTATGAAACGATATAAGGCCATGATGGCGAAACTATGGCACGCGTGCCAGAGGTGCCATACTGTTATGGAATGATGAGACTGAACAACATTCCTTGTCAACCAGAGACAGTTTATTGCACAGTTTCAGAACCAGATTTGTATCTGCAATTCTGAACCAAGAAGAGCTCTGATACAACTGCTTTTATACATATCCAAGACAGGATTTTGTGAGCACAGCAGTTTTCCATATATAGTTAACATACATTTGTTACATGATAATTGACACTTTCTAAATTATTAAATTCCTACATTATTTTCTAGTTCATAAGATTATCTTAGCTAAACAACCTTCCTCAGTTCTGTGATTGCTGATGTGTAGATTCATGGCTGCTTTGGATAATAAGTAACTTTTGTTTCATATGGATGTCCTTGCATTCTTGACAACTAGGCCCCTCAGAAGATATATATTACCAAGAATGGAATTTAGCTGACTTAGTGTAATCTCTAAACAAGCACATTTCTTTCTTATAATAATGTGAATAAAGAGGGTCCTTCAGTGTTCATATAGCTGACCCTGTACTATTCCTACATCATTCACAATACAGTGCCCTCTCTATGGGCATGCGAGCCGTTGCCCCAGCACAGCTCCACCATGCATAAGCGTGCGCCTTCTGCCAGCCAGCTGGTCCTTGGGCCTCTGCCGCGCATGCATGGGTGGTAGGGCGCATGCAGGAGTGCAAGCGCAGGGGCAGGGCGCATGCAGGGGACAGGGTACATGTGGAGGCTGCACATGCATTGCATTTTGGGGGTTTGGGTGCGCATGTGTGCATTTGGGCATGCACACGCGCGCTTTGGGCACTCAGTCCGGAAAAGGTTAGCCATCCCTGATACAGGGTCTCCTGCTTGAGCGAAGTGGGTGTGTTAGAAGACCTCCAAGGTCCCTTGCAACTCCTATGTTCTATATTCTAAGCTCGAATACAGGAATTATGTCTAATATATTCCTTGTGTTCCGCAATAAGTATCATGAAATGACTTTCTTTAAACCTCTGCTTGAATGCATGTGATGTTGGCCTGTGGTGATGCAGTTCAATTCATCTGGCATGTGCCAAGTAAGAGATGTGATCCAATTTGTTCAGGACCGTTTGCCTCCCTCTTTCTATAAACTCTTCAGTATTATTTTATGTATTCATGGTTTAATGATTTGTTCAAAACTTAGGCAGAATAATTTCTTATATGCATCATAATATGATGTTATCCCCCTTTGCTTTTAGGTTTCATATTCTCATTTTCTCTCCGCTCCACCTTTTTGTATATTGAGGGAATTAATTTTTAAAAAACTAATGAAAGAGCACAAACTAATGTAAGTCCAGGTTGAAATACTTGGAAGTGTATATATGACCAATGGCTGGAGATTCAACTGACAGGCAACGCTCCAGAGACTCTCTTTGTTCCCCAGTACTATTGTTTTGGTGGAATGATAGACAGAGAGATAGACTCTGGAGTGGTGTGGTGGCCTAGAGGTGGAACTCTCGCCTCACAATCAGGAGGCTGTGAGTTCAATCCTAGGTAGAGGCAGATATTTCTCTGTCTGGGCACAATGAGAACTCCGCATTGGCGAGAGGAAAGGCATCCAGCCAGTAAACACTCAGTTCTATTCAGTTGCCCCAATTACAGGGTCATTAAAAGACAAAAGAGAGAGAGAGAGAGAGAGAGAGATAAGACTGATAGATTAGATAATAGACTGATAGATTAATAGATGATTGAAAGATACATAGATGATATATAGACAGAGAGACAAATAGATTATAGAAAATGGAAGATACATGATGGATGGATGGATAGATAGATGAGGGAGAGAGAGAGAGAGGAAGAGAGAAGACAGGCAGACATAAATGTAACATGAATATAAGCTTAACCGTGATCTGCTCAGCCTGTCTGATGTATCTGGGAAAGTGGGCCCTGCTAAAGCTTGCACATTTGTCATTGTCAGAGGCAGAGGTGCTTGAAGAAATACAGCATATAATTAGCAACCTGAGTTAGCATCCCCTTTTGCATCTAAGAATAAACAATGCTAACAAGCAAAGCAACAGAAGCATCAGGTGCCAATAGTTCTATCCTGGGCACTTGGTATGACGATGCTTGCATTTTGCTACTGATGGTGTCTTGCATAACTCGAATGAACTCAGATGAAGTCTCCCGTTGGAATGACCCAACTTCAAGGATTTTGCTGCTAACATGATGTAGAATTTGCAATCTTATACGCATATCCTGGGAATCAATTATGTAGTTCTCATCCATCCTTTTTAAAGGATAATGCATTGTTTATGTTCCATGTTTTCATACGAGGTATATTTTTGGTACCTACAAATAGCTCCATAGTTCATTCTGCTCTGACTAAAAGCCTTCCACGTGTGCTCCGTATTTATTATCTCTATTTATATCAGGGGTGAAATGCTCCCGGTTCGGACCGGATTGCCTGATACGGTAGTGATGGAGGCAGGTGGTTCGGAGAACCGGTAGCAAAAATCCCTGCCCCCCCCAATTGCCCAGCTGAGCCGCGCAATCATCAGAGGCTTTTTTTCAAATTTTTAAAAACATTTTTTCTACGACCTCTTTGGCTGAAAAAATGCTTTTAAATTTTTTTTAAAAAGCCTCTGATGATCAGCTGAAGAGGTTATAGAAAAAATGTTTTTAAAAGGAAAAAAAGCCTCTGCCGATCAGGCAAGTCAGCTGGGATCATCAGAGGCTTTTTTTTAAAAAAAGAAAGCTTCTGCCGATCAGGCAAGTCAGTTGGGATCGTCAGAGGCTTTAAAAGCATTTTTTTTTACAACCTCTTCGGCTGAAGAGGTTATAGAAAAAATGTTTTTAAAAGGAAAAAAAAAAAGTTGGCCATGCCCACTCAGTCATATTACCCCACCACCACCAAGCCATGCCCACAGAACCAGTAGTAACAAATTTTACATTTCACCACTGATTTATATCCCTGGTTGGTGTGCATGGGACATCCTCAAACATGTTAGGGATGATGGAGTTTGTAGTCTAATCAAACTAAAAGGTTTAAGACCACCCTGAGAATGAGAGGTTTCTTTTCTTTTAGAAAGAAATTTCTCTTAAAAGGAAGACCCTTTCCAGAAAAATGGAGGATAGTTTTTCGCACAAGATTAATTCATGACAGATACAAAGCCTTTCCTATTGAATTATAAACTTTGAAAACCATGGGGGTGTGCCAAATTTGAGATACAATATTAAATCCATGCTGTGTAGCATAATTTATTTTATTAGTGATGCCCTGCAGAACAGGCTATTTCAACTCCTAAACCCTGCAAAAGGCTTGATTTTTAGGCAGTTCTTAATGTGCATATCTAGAAATAGGAAACACTACTTTTTATCTGCGGTGCATTTTGTGGGTAAAGATCTCATATTATTCTAACATTAAAAAGCATCTATAAATATCAAAAGGACTTAAAAACATAGCTGCCAAATTCTTTTTTTTTTTACTCTCTTGCTTTAGAAAACCAAAATCCTGGTTTTGAAACCAAACTTGCAAGTAAAAGCTTGTGTCCTGTTGTGATATTTTTAAATTCACCTGGAATGCTTGAAGATTTTGGATACTGGGTGTCTTGCATTCTTGCCAAATGATCGCTTACATTCAAAGCTGAAAATACATTTGATCTGTGTATCATGGCTGTTTGGAAAATAAGGGGATACCTTCTTTCAGATAATTCTCTGCCTTCTAAAGAATGGCTGCAGGATTTGGGTTTGGCTAGTCTAAAGAAAAGAAGAATTAGGAGTGACATGATAGCACTATTCCAGTACTTGAGGGGCT